GAGAGAGAAAAAGCTGCTTGCTGAATATGTAATTGCAATTTAAAGTTAGCATATAACATGTCCCATTATATAACTCACACCCATTTTAAATTATCTTCAAAAAACAGACAACATATGGGCTATTCACACACAATTATGGTATTTTTGACAAGATCTGTTTATAAAATTGTACTGTTGTTTTATGTTACCAGCATAGAGGTATGAAGGAGTACATGTCGAGAGTTGATATTTGGCACAGAGTATTAGGTGCCTAAATCATTTGTGCATAAAAAAATCCAGACTTGTAGGTAGTCAGGAGACCGAGAATCGAGTCAAAATAAAATACAAAATGGCAGCCCTCTTCTATAAACAGGCAAAACAGCCACCTCCCCCCACCGAAGTCAGGTGGGGAGAGTACCACCCACAGTCATTCTAAGAAGTGAACTCTGACCTTAAGACTGAACATGTAGTTTCTTCTATGTTAAATAAAATTCATAATCTAATTTTGTAAATTTGGGAGCGCTTCAAATATTCAACTGGGTTTTTTAACATTATCTAGTATAGTAAAATCGTAGGACTGATAAAAATTTGTCGTTATGTTAGGGTTGTTGTTACATTCGATGACATTATAATCGGGTTAAACTGTATATTGTTTGTGCAAAATAAAAAAATAATTTTGGATGATACAATAGCCATGATTATTTTTTTCAAAAACGGGAACTTTTCATTACGCATCGACAAAAATTCAACCCGGGCCAACATGCAACGGAGAGAAATTTGAAAATTGGATAGGTTAATTTCATCAGAAATGCTTCGTGACCAGTGAAATTTGAACGATTGTACCCAAAAGCAGCAATACCAAAGAAGATTGGAGAATGAGAACGAGACCAGCCTTGAGCATCAAAGTGATTCTGCTTAGTAGTTAGTCTCCAAGACATAGTCTTGTCCCAAATATGGTTTTGCTGTTTTACTTGTCTTAACTAAAATTTTATTATTACAGTAGTCATAATACATAACAAATTTTATTATTACATTTTATAGATAACATTATACTGACTTGGCAGTATTCATAAATTATATTTATGATTTTTAAAACTTACTGTTAAAAAGTCCTCTTTAAAAATTAGTAGTAATAGAGTTTAAAAATTAGCAGAAATCTTAAGAGGTTTTTATGTCATTTATCAATATCATTAATGTATTAAAAAAATAATTAATAATTATTAATTTTAATATATTATTAAACAAATTATACATAAAAAATAAATGGTTATGCAAATTATAATTCAAAATGAAATTGACACTAAATTGAGCATAATACCTGAACCTAAAGACCTCAAATACTAATAATAATAATACAGTGATGCCTTGTACTTTGAATTTAATCCATTCCATGGGGCCATTCTGAAATGTTCAAGTGAATTAATCCATTCCCAGACCCTAAGTAATACCCATTTCAATAAACTTAAGCAGCAAATACACATAATTTAAAATAAAAATAGCACAGTTAAATGTCTGAAATAATAAGTTGAAACATGAAAACAATAAACAAAATACATAAATACTATATAATAAAATGAAAATTGCATTTACTGATCACACACCAGTAACTTTGGCATCTTAAACACAGCCTCCAGATCTGCCACACATGTACCATTTTCATGCTTTGTTATAAATTCCTTTTTCATCTCAATCATTGATACTGCAACCTTCCTCTTAGGTTTTGTTGCTGCAACACTCTTCTTTGATACCATGCTTAATAGATAGGGGTTATATATATAATCAAACATACCAAAATTAAAATGGAAAAAAGCACTGAAAACAAACAAGCATAATGCAAGAGATGCTTTCACAGTGAGAATGGGAGATGAGTTGAACACACAGATAGTGTTTACACAACAAGCATATTTTTTCATTGTGCATACTGTTCAAACATAGAAGCATTGTTCAAATTCCAAGTCAAATTTATCATTTGAACTATGGAACATTCAAAATTAGAATTGTTTGAAATACAGTAAGACTCATTTAGCGCTTCCTTGATTAATGCTGATTCGATATAATGTGGTCTGCTCAAAGCCTTAAAAAAAGCTCAAAATTTATGCTGATTCAAATTATTGTAGCATTTCATTGATTCATATATAATATGATTATTCCCAAACACAAATCAATCAGCAAAAGGTCACAATTTGTCATAGTGCTAAAAACTTTCCTTACATTTGTTTGTTTGGTGCAATTTTAAGAAATATAACATCATGGATGCCATAAGAAATATTGACTTCACTTGACAAGAATTAACTAATAAATGCACAAAGTGTGGAAGAAGTTATGGCTGAAAGTATCCAAGAATTCTCGACAAGAAGAGCCTATCGCTGTATTGTTAGGTTGACCAAACTCAACCTAATCGATATAGGAGATATAAGCAAGCACGATACTGAGGAGTTACAGCAGGTTTCTGGTGAAAGCCTTATTAACAACGACCTTCAATAACTGGCAGAACATGGAATTCATGTGGAACTAGAAAATAGAGATTCTGAAAACAAAGAACCCAAAAAATTTCTCTACAGATTTCCTTAGTGAAAGTTTTGTAAGATAACCGAAATCGTTGATCAAATTGTAGCAAATGATCAGATTTTGAAAGGAGTGCAAAAGCAAAATGAGGTGTTTTGGATGCGATCTTCTGCTACCGACATTTGCTTAAGGAAAAAAAAAAGCGACAAATGAAACTTCACCACTTTATTGCAAAAGAACAAGAATTTCAGAAAAGTCAGGAGCTTCATCACAAAAAATGAACTTTACATTTCTGTGTGCATATGTTTGTGTGTTATTTAACATATATTATTATGCAAATTAATATAAAAAATAACTTAAAGTAAAATCTGTTTATTTTTGTTCACATGTTTCCCTTTCCCTATTTACTATGTGTTAAAATGACCTCATTTAATACTGTTTCATTTGGTGCTTTGTCGTCTAGGAATGCATCTTAAGCACTAAACAAGGTCTTGCTGTATGTGGTACAATTATACCACTGTAATTATGTAAAATGAGATCTGCAAGAAGTTTGATTTTAGAGTTTGAAAGTCATATGATTTGATGTTTACAATGCAAAATCATACATTTAGTAAGTCATCAATATTGGTTCTCTATTGAATGTTTATAAGGAAGATCCATTCCAAACCAAAACAAGTTCATACAGTTTTCAGTAGAGTTTGTGACAATGACTTGTTTGAACTTGTAGTTGTTTGCAGAGCCAAATATTTTGTGAGAGACATAAAACACATTTATAAACTGTCAGTTAGTCAGTGTACCTTAATTTAGTTTGTACTATTTTTCTAAGACTTTAAACCCTTTTAAAATGTCAGTTGAACATGGCATAATTTAGGCTTGTTTAATTTACAAATTTAAGCTCAGTTTGAAGTTTCCTGTAAGATATGTGTGGCAATTTGGAAAAGATGCCTTATCAGAAAATACTGCACAGAAATAGTTTTAAAAATTTATATCTAATGATGAATCACTATGTTTAGGTACACCCTCTGTTATTGAAAATGAAGAATTACATGTTGCTGTTGAAAATAATTCTAGATATAACATATCAAGAACTCTCAAAAATGTTTAATGTAAGTGATGAAACAATATTTTTACACTTGCATCAACTAGGAAAATCATGGGAGTTAAGAAAATGGGACCAACATGCAGAAAGATGCTAATTTTGATGACTGTTGGACTAATTTCAAGTTTGGTGGAGATTTTATTACTAAGTGGATAGTCTTTGAAGTTTATCAGATTACAATAAACATCAAAGACTATCAATTTAGTAAGTAAAATCGCCACCAAACTTGAAATTAGTCCAACAGTCATCAAAATTAGCATCTTTCTGCATTAAGGAGCACAAATCATATTTATGTTCCTTAATACATTTGGATAATAATTATTTGATGGATCTGATTTACATCAATCAATAATGCTCATACTGCAAAAACTTATCTGTGAGAAGATTTGTGCTTTGATATGAGAGATACTTCCTCACTTTCCACATTCATCTGACATTTCTCCAAGTCATTATCACCTTTTCTTGGCACTAGACAATCATATGCAAAACAGACAGTTCTGCAATAAAATAGATATTGAAGCAGAAGTTACTAGATTTTTTACTTCTAAAAACAAAGAGTTTTATAAAAACAGTATTTACAAAGTTATATCTCATTGGGAAAGAGTTTGTGAATTGTGAGATGCTTATTTTAACAAATAAAATATTTTATGAAAATTTCTGCAAATCAGGTTTTATTATTAAAAACCATACAAACTTTTTTGGTTAACTGATATTTTTAAATACAGTATATTGTCATCATAGATTTTATTGTTACACAATTTAAAATACTAATGCCAGAATAAGAATTTAAAAGTAATTAAATTACTTTGCAATTTTAGTATTGTTATATGTTAAAGCTGATAAGATTCAATGAATTACTCACCATTAAGTTTTTCATTAATATCCAAATGTTTAAATTAATAGTATTTATGTAATTTTTGATGCAGTAATNAGCTTATAGCTGATGTCAATATTGTTTAATATTAAATTTTAATTAATATATTATTGTTTGAAATATCTATTTTGGTAATTTTTTCATATATTTTCTCTTTTTTGAGAAAATAATGTCATCATTTATAAAATTTTGTTAACAACAGTGAATAAAAATTTGTTGTTTTCTTAAAATTAAGTATCAGAAATGAATTTTCATGTACAGCTTAGTTTTATGAAAGAATTTCATTTTTAATGTCAAGTTTAACTTCAGTAATAAGTTAAGTTTTAGGTAATGTAATGTGATTGGAGCAATGGATTTTCAAATATCACTTTCCATTTCAATTATGTAAGTTAATTTTATGAATTAAATGTTCAACACATAAAATTCAAAACAGAATTAAATTATTATATCATATTTTGAAAAATAGAAAATCAAAGAATAATATTTGTTTGATATAAGTTTATATATTGCTAATTGCTTAAAAATCTTAGAAATGAAACTTACTTTCACAGAATCAACTGGATACATTACACAATGTTCCATGATTCCAGCAGCACTACCTGCCAACATATGTGTCGCTGTAGACGACGTAGGTAAAGCTTCATAGTCATCAAAGTCCATTCTATTGCAATATTAAATTAAAAAACGATATATTCATGTCCGTTTGTTGACAACATACACGTGCCTGTAACTGATTAAAAAATCCATTTTATATTTCATCCACGTGGTTTCACAAATCTCGTAAGTTGACGTCTCACGAGATAATATTATGCAATATTTTGATAACGTTCCACTCCAATCAAAAAATATTTAAAAAATTATATAACGATTTTAAAATAATTAAATTAAATTTTATTACCTGTAAAAAATATCTATTTTTTATCTATTATTTACGAAAATTTTATTTTATAAACGTTTATTTTGTTAAACGAAATGAAATTTTTTCATAATAAATTATTTATAAATAAATTTATTTCTCAAAATTACAACATTATTAAAATAATTCTTTTAAATGTGAAAATAAATTTAATACCGATTTCCCTAGTTAAAATTTTGTAGGTGAAAGTGAATAGAATTTCCCTACAAAATTCCCTACGTTATTTTTTTTTTGTCGTAGAATCTACGCAAGAAATTTTTGAATGGAATTTCCCTAAAAATTCCCTTTATATGTTTTACGTGCAGACGTGAAATGGATTGGCTTTTACACATGTTTTTCATACTTTGATTATTAATAACAGAGAAGAATGTTTGTAAATGTGATTTTTGAAACAGTGACGTTCATTATAAATAAATTTTTAAAGATAATTCAAGTGTTAAGTTATGTCTGATTATATTATTTAATATTTGATTAGAAAAGAATGTCTGAAACTCGTTCTTTGCTTCCTCCTCTTCAAAGAAGTTTAAGAAATGAAATTACAGATCGTAAAGAATGGACTAAGATCTTAAAATCTCAAAAAATGAGTGAACAAAAGGCTATAAATAGATCAAATTCATTAGAAAATGTACTTAATTCTTCTGGAAACTTGAAATTGAGAAGAAATAGTGTTCCTGTTGGAAATAATTGTAACAACAACAACAACAACAACAACAGTAGCAGCAACAACAACAGTAACAACAACAACAACAACAACAACAACAACATTTCAAAAACTGAAGAAAAATCAGCTCAACAAACGTACACAATTCAAATTCCTCCCTTATTTGGTGATCAGAAATTGTTTCTTCAAGGCTCACAAATGTTGGAAACGTTAGCCCAAATGTTACAACAGCAAAAAGATAATGAAAATTCCAATAATCGAAAAAACACATTAGAAGGCAGCCAATTTAAGAAACTCAATTACTATCATTCAAAGCTAAAACTATTATTAAAAGAACAATGTTTATGTAATTTAAAAAAAGAATGTATTACACATATTCAAACAGCTGAGAAATTTGTAGTTGAAATTAAAGAAATTGTTATTAATGAGTATAAAAAATTAAAATATGTTTTGGACACAAATCTATGCAAAAATAGGTTTTTTATTCAAGAGAGTGGGATTTATTTAGGAAGTGTTAGATCGTTGATAGAGATGCTTAGCTTACATGTTGGTCTGTGGCCTTCGTTATTAAGAAGTTTTGGAAGAGCCCTTAATATACTTAATATTGGTTGGGATCCAACCCTTGATGTTCTTTTGACTCAAACTCATAAGATTTTACAAAATTTAGAAATTCAAGCTTTATTCTGGATACGTCGGATTTTGGATATTGATTTTTCCATAATTTGTATCATTGGGGGCCAAATTATACCGTCGGATGCATTACAAAATGCATTTCAAACACTTCAAAATTTTAATAAATTATTGAGAATTGATAAAAATGAAAATATTTGTTTTTGTCAAGTACATTGTATTGAAATAAATAAGTTTTGTTCCAGATGTAAGATAGTTCCATTTTCATTTTTGGAAGCAATTAAGTTGTTGGCAAACTATGAAGCAAAAACTGCCGCAAGGAAGTTGTCGTCATTTCTTGTAACCGAATGTAAAAAATTATCTTCGGGAAAGCAAGAAGAATTTGAATGGGGGTCAATGCTAGCTAATTCAAAGGATGCCACTCATGTTAAATTAAATGGCACATCTGATTATTTTTCAGCTTCTATTAGTGATGTAGCATTTGGTAGAAAAACAAATACTACTAATACAGTTCATAGTACTACATTATCATCAGGATCCAATAATGCATCTGCTATGAATAAAGTTATTAGTGAATTACTTCAAAACAATCAAATGATATTATTAAAATTTTTATTTGCTTTTGCATGTGTTAAAATCCAGCCAGAAAAGGAAAATAATTTTGCAAGTATTCAACGAAACAATCAAGAATTTCAAGGTAGGAATATGTTTTTTTAGGATGATTACTTCACTCACTTTAATATAATATGATGATATATTTTAAGAATCTTGATAAAGTTAGTGGAAAAAATAGAATTTGTAAAGAAGTTTTTAAGTTTTTAATGTATTTACTTGTAAATGGTTTAAAATCATATTAAGGTACAAAGGCTATTGTCTTATAGATGAGATTTGTTCAGTTAAGCAATAGACAGCTGAATTTATTATGTGTTGTTGAGATGAAAAAAAAGTTTACTTTTTGACAGATTTGTTTGTATACTGTACTTGGTTTTTTTAATGATAATGTTTAATATTAAAAAATTATGTTTGTTCAATAATTAGAAACTGATCAGATTGAATGGCAATTGCTAAGTCATATTATCTATGTATAAAAAAACTTCACAAAATATTCATTCATTCATGTAGATGTTGAGCAGTAATAATGAGTAGTAATGGTAGTAGGACATTTTCCCCGAGATCATATTTCTGTTTATGATAATAATACATTATTTCAACATAAGTGAATGGCATAACCTACAACGTGACAACAGACATATCTAGTTTTTTCATTGCTTGTTTATATACTATAAAATGACTAAGACAAAATCTTTCACACTTTGTTTCTAGCAGTTTAATCACTAAGTACAAATGACATCATTATACCTGAAGAAGGCCATTCAAAATGGCCAAAAACGTTTGTACTTGGTGATTAAAAGTTTTAGCTTCAAATGCATATAAGTATATACTATAAATATAAATTCATTCAGAAAAAGAAAATAATTTTTCACTTAACAATCAAGAATTTTAAAATATTTATATATATAGTTTTTATGTTGACCATTTCTAATATTGTCATTTTATATTAATTTTATAGTAACATATAGTACAATTATATAAAGCATATAAAAAAGTACTGGAAAAAATTAGATATCATACACATTATCATATAACAGGTAATATCTTTGACTTATGTTGAAATAATGCATTACTTGGACAAAGTTAAATGATGAAATTAACAAATTTCATAATTTTTTAAACATACTAATGTTTATATATAAAATAATTTATCTTTTATTGAAAATAATTAATTTGTACAGTTGTTTTCTTACATAATTTGTCTAAATAAACCCATCAAATAGATGTGTTTATTGTTTTAGATTTATTAATATAAAAATTCTTCAGTTTTTCTCAAATATTAAGTAACTTAATTTAAATTTTTGAACAATATATACTGTATTTTTAAAAACAGAATGAATTGATGTTGTAATTTGCCAATTGGTTTAAATTCAACAATAACTCCTGATTATTATATTATTTTCCATACTTCTCTAAAATAACTTTTTGTTATTTCAAAATTTATTATCTCTACTAGGCATCAAAGACAACCTGCTACAGTTACAAACAAATCTATTTGCAATTGAAATGAACCATAGGGCTATTTGATCTTTGCAATATAGTGGCTGAAAGTAGTATACCATTGTACTTATTACATTATAAGTACACACAAATTTAATGACAAAAATTCATTTTTTATCATTCAATAAAAACTTTTATATGAAAAACTTCTTTCTCTCTAAATGAGTCTTTTAAAGTGATGTAAAGTGTGATACTGTATTTAACAGTATGACTTTCAAAATGTCTTATTTTTTCATAAATTATTTCAGAAAATAATAAAAACAATCAAAATAACAAATATAACTTGTAAATACCTAACTTGGCAACCCTGCACAAAAAATTTTACCATACAAATGTGCCTAACTTCATTGGCCACACATACAATTACATAACAATTACAGTGATTTTCAACCAGGTTGCCATGGCACACTGAATGCCACAATGGCACTTCAGGGATGCCATGTAATATAGAGCTGAGAAGTTAATGATTCTAACAAGCAATTATTTATTGTGACATCATCAAAATGCCAGGCTGAAATTTTAAATTTATTTAATTTAAAATATGTGCTCTCCACCTCAAATTAGTAGTGTCTTGCTCCTGTACATCATACTTTTCCTTTAACGATACAGTCATGCCAGACATCTATCTAACACCTTTCAGGGGAAAATTTTTCAATCAAAATAATGTGACTTTTGATTTGCATCAGAAGTTCATATATAATCAGGACTTTCTGCCCCTAAGATTTTCATATCTGGTCTCATCTTTCATCTATCTAACTTTGTTTTCAAGATTAAAGAAAGATGGACGACAGTGAAAATTTATAAATCCACAGTTTTTTCAAATTGCAGCCCAATAAAGAAGTAAGGTTGTCACAAGAAAAAATTACCAAGTTGGGCCACCAATATTATAAAAAGGTTTAAAAACACTGTCATAAGGTATCATTTTACATGAATTTTTAACATTCTGTGAATCAATATTTTCTTATGAAGGAATAATGCTATACAAAATAATATAATGCAAACATCAAATCATACAGAGGCTCACTATATTTGTTAATTGGGAACAAAAAAATATGTTATATTTAATGATTTATAGTAGTATGAAAATTTATTTTATTATATATATGTATGCATGTATGTAAACATCTGTATTAATTAATATAACTTTTTATAGGTTCTCGTCAAATTTGGCAGATTCCAACAAAATTAGGATTTGAAGATAGTACACAGTTAGAAAGAACTTATTGGCATCAGTTTTGGCTAGGGTTAACAGAAGAAACAATATCTGTTTTGACAAATTTTTCAGTTACATTATTTGTTTCAAAAACTGATTCATTGTATCCATTATCATTTTCTTCAGTTGCATTTCAAAAAGAATTACTTAGATTATTGAAAGATTTCAAATCAGATGGAGGTAAAAATATAATCTCATCTTAAAAATTTTATTCAGATTTTATAAAACTTTTATTGTATATTTAAAAATATTTATAAAAATTATACAGTCACTAAATCTTTTTTTTTCAGATGCAACTGTAAAGTTGATGGATATGTTGCAGAAAGTGCATGATATGATATATACTCAAATATGTTTAATGGCATGGGATGAAAGTGAGTTAAATCTATAAAATAATAATTTTAGTCTGTTATTTTTATAAATACATAAAAACAGTTCAAATTTATATATCATAATTTAGTGTAGATAACCCACAATGACATGTACTCCATAAGAAATTGGATAGAATGGAAATAAAATCTTTGCATACCTTTTGCCTTTAGAGCAACTGTTCACTGCTACTAACAGAAATGAAGTGATAAGATAAAAAATTATTGTATCTCAGCAGCCAACTCATTTAACAAAACATGTGTCTTCTTATACAGTAAAGACCTGATGGATTGTAATATCATACCATCCAATGGAATGTTGAAATGCAGTTTCATTCATGCAATTACTTTTAAAATTTATTTTACTATTGTTTTCTAAGCTTAAAAGTTATTAATATTTTAAGTTATATATGTTACTTTAATTATTATAAAATGGAGAAAAACTGTAGTTTAAAAAAAATGAAGCAATTAAACCAAAATTGTAATGATTTCATCTTTAGTTTCAATTTCACTAGCAGAATGGTGAAAAATAGTAATGCTGTTGTGTATGTAAACAAAATGAAACATTGTACAGTCAAGCTAGGAATATCATTTGAAATGTATATAATTATTTTTATCAAAATTTACTAAATGATGTAAATAGCAATGAATTTATAGCTTACTAGGATAGAAATTAGTGCATTATGCACCTTAACTATCAAAGTTCTCTGAAAGGATATCATTATATAGATAGGGATAATTACTGAGATTTTATCAACTTTCAAGATAAAAATTTATATAAGAGAGCTAATAACATCAATTATAGCATGGAATATATACAGAAAAAGAATGGGAGCGAACTAAGGATAAGGTATGTTTATATGTGTATTTCATAGTTTTGAGAAAAATTACAATAGTAGAAGAAAATATATGCAACACACAAAGGATTTTCACATTTTCTAAATCATTCTTAAGGCAGTGCTTCATGGTAAAGCAGCATTGCAAAAATGTCTTTGCTGCAAGCCACAACTGACAAGCAAAAAGCAATTTGTTTCTTGGTACCTGCATTCCACATTCAAGATGAAGAATAAGGGACAAATCTTTGTGCCTTTTTGTTTAAAACTTTTACTTCATATAGTTTTATTTATTGAGATTTAATCAAAAGAGAAAGTGTGGGATAAGAAGCATTTTCCTATAAGAAAAATGCTTACATTTGTCTGTATCATATTATGCTTAAAATTTTATTAAAATAGGGATAATTATATGAAAAGGGATAATTTTTTACAGATTCGAGATTCAAGACTTATCTATATTGAAACTTGTATTCAAACCTTCCATCATTAAACAGATAAACATGTTATACATGTGATTCATGTACTCATATGATATAAACATTACCTGAAATGAGCTGTGATTGGTTGTAAGAAAGATGTCTCTGTCACCTATGCTGCAAAAGTCAAATCTTGCTCTAATTTTGCAGCATCAACGTTTTAAGGTTTGCAGCAACAAAAGTCAACAAACAAATCTCTTTTCTGTTCTGTACTGTATGTGTGCATTCATCTTTAGTGACTTTAGAGAGAGAAAAAGCTGCTTGCTGAATATGTAATTGCAATTTAAAGTTAGCATATAACATGTCCCATTATATAACTCACACCCATTTTAAATTATCTTCAAAAAACAGACAACATATGGGCTATTCACACACAATTATGGTATTTTTGACAAGATCTGTTTATAAAATTGTACTGTTGTTTTATGTTACCAGCATAGAGGTATGAAGGAGTACATGTCGAGAGTTGATATTTGGCACAGAGTATTAGGTGCCTAAATCATTTGTGCATAAAAAAATCCAGACTTGTAGGTAGTCAGGAGACCGAGAATCGAGTCAAAATAAAATACAAAATGGCAGCCCTCTTCTATAAACAGGCAAAACAGCCACCTCCCCCCACCGAAGTCAGGTGGGGAGAGTACCACCCACAGTCATTCTAAGAAGTGAACTCTGACCTTAAGACTGAACATGTAGTTTCTTCTATGTTAAATAAAATTCATAATCTAATTTTGTAAATTTGGGAGCGCTTCAAATATTCAACTGGGTTTTTTAACATTATCTAGTATAGTAAAATCGTAGGACTGATAAAAATTTGTCGTTATGTTAGGGTTGTTGTTACATTCGATGACATTATAATCGGGTTAAACTGTATATTGTTTGTGCAAAATAAAAAAATAATTTTGGATGATACAATAGCCATGATTATTTTTTTCAAAAACGGGAACTTTTCATTACGCATCGACAAAAATTCAACCCGGGCCAACATGCAACGGAGAGAAATTTGAAAATTGGATAGGTTAATTTCATCAGAAATGCTTCGTGACCAGTGAAATTTGAACGATTGTACCCAAAAGCAGCAATACCAAAGAAGATTGGAGAATGAGAACGAGACCAGCCTTGAGCATCAAAGTGATTCTGCTTAGTAGTTAGTCTCCAAGACATAGTCTTGTCCCAAATATGGTTTTGCTGTTTTACTTGTCTTAACTAAAATTTTATTATTACAGTAGTCATAATACATAACAAATTTTATTATTACATTTTATAGATAACATTATACTGACTTGGCAGTATTCATAAATTATATTTATGATTTTTAAAACTTACTGTTAAAAAGTCCTCTTTAAAAATTAGTAGTAATAGAGTTTAAAAATTAGCAGAAATCTTAAGAGGTTTTTATGTCATTTATCAATATCATTAATGTATTAAAAAAATAATTAATAATTATTAATTTTAATATATTATTAAACAAATTATACATAAAAAATAAATGGTTATGCAAATTATAATTCAAAATGAAATTGACACTAAATTGAGCATAATACCTGAACCTAAAGACCTCAAATACTAATAATAATAATACAGTGATGCCTTGTACTTTGAATTTAATCCATTCCATGGGGCCATTCTGAAATGTTCAAGTGAATTAATCCATTCCCAGACCCTAAGTAATACCCATTTCAATAAACTTAAGCAGCAAATACACATAATTTAAAATAAAAATAGCACAGTTAAATGTCTGAAATAATAAGTTGAAACATGAAAACAATAAACAAAATACATAAATACTATATAATAAAATGAAAATTGCATTTACTGATCACACACCAGTAACTTTGGCATCTTAAACACAGCCTCCAGATCTGCCACACATGTACCATTTTCATGCTTTGTTATAAATTCCTTTTTCATCTCAATCATTGATACTGCAACCTTCCTCTTAGGTTTTGTTGCTGCAACACTCTTCTTTGATACCATGCTTAATAGATAGGGGTTATATATATAATCAAACATACCAAAATTAAAATGGAAAAAAGCACTGAAAACAAACAAGCATAATGCAAGAGATGCTTTCACAGTGAGAATGGGAGATGAGTTGAACACACAGATAGTGTTTACACAACAAGCATATTTTTTCATTGTGCATACTGTTCAAACATAGAAGCATTGTTCAAATTCCAAGTCAAATTTATCATTTGAACTATGGAACATTCAAAATTAGAATTGTTTGAAATACAGTAAGACTCATTTAGCGCTTCCTTGATTAATGCTGATTCGATATAATGTGGTCTGCTCAAAGCCTTAAAAAAAGCTCAAAATTTATGCTGATTCAAATTATTGTAGCATTTCATTGATTCATATATAATATGATTATTCCCAAACACAAATCAATCAGCAAAAGGTCACAATTTGTCATAGTGCTAAAAACTTTCCTTACATTTGTTTGTTTGGTGCAATTTTAAGAAATATAACATCATGGATGCCATAAGAAATATTGACTTCACTTGACAAGAATTAACTAATAAATGCACAAAGTGTGGAAGAAGTTATGGCTGAAAGTATCCAAGAATTCTCGACAAGAAGAGCCTATCGCTGTATTGTTAGGTTGACCAAACTCAACCTAATCGATATAGGAGATATAAGCAAGCACGATACTGAGGAGTTACAGCAGGTTTCTGGTGAAAGCCTTATTAACAACGACCTTCAATAACTGGCAGAACATGGAATTCATGTGGAACTAGAAAATAGAGATTTTGAAAACAAAGAACCCAAAAAATTTCTCTACAGATTTCCTTAGTGAAAGTTTTGTAAGATAACCGAAATCGTTGATCAAATTGTAGCAAATGATCAGATTTTGAAAGGAGTGCAAAAGCAAAATGAGGTGTTTTGGATGCGATCTTCTGCTACCGACATTTGCTTAAGGAAAAAAAAAAGCGACAAATGAAACTTCACCACTTTATTGCAAAAGAACAAGAATTTCAGAAAAGTCAGGAGCTTCATCACAAAAAATGAACTTTACATTTCTGTGTGCATATGTTTGTGTGTTATTTAACATATATTATTATGCAAATTAATATAAAAAATAACTTAAAGTAAAATCTGTTTATTTTTGTTCACATGTTTCCCTTTCCCTATTTACTATGTGTTAAAATGACCTCATTTAATACTGTTTCATTTGGTGCTTTGTCGTCTAGGAATGCATCTTAAGCACTAAACAAGGTCTTGCTGTATGTGGTACAATTATACCACTGTAATTATGTAAAATGAGATCTGCAAGAAGTTTGATTTTAGAGTTTGAAAGTCATATGATTTGATGTTTACAATGCAAAATCATACATTTAGTAAGTCATCAATATTGGTTCTCTATTGAATGTTTATAAGGAAGATCCATTCCAAACCAAAACAAGTTCATACAGTTTTCAGTAGAGTTTGTGACAATGACTTGTTTGAACTTGTAGTTGTTTGCAGAGCCAAATATTTTGTGAGAGACATAAAACACATTTATAAACTGTCAGTTAGTCAGTGTACCTTAATTTAGTTTGTACTATTTTTCTAAGACTTTAAACCCTTTTAAAATGTCAGTTGAACATGGCATAATTTAGGCTTGTTTAATTTACAAATTTAAGCTCAGTTTGAAGTTTCCTGTAAGATATGTGTGGCAATTTGGAAAAGATGCCTTATCAGAAAATACTGCACAGAAATAGTTTTAAAAATTTATATCTAATGATGAATCACTATGTTTAGGTACACCCTCTGTTATTGAAAATGAAGAATTACATGTTGCTGTTGAAAATAATTCTAGATATAACATATCAAGAACTCTCAAAAATGTTTAATGTAAGTGATGAAACAATATTTTTACACTTGCATCAACTAGGAAAATCATGGGAGTTAAGAAAATGGGACCAACATGCAGAAAGATGCTAATTTTGATGACTGTTGGACTAATTTCAAGTTTGGTGGAGATTTTATTACTAAGTGGATAGTCTTTGAAGTTTATCAGATTACAATAAACATCAAAGACTATCAATTTAGTAAGTAAAATCGCCACCAAACTTGAAATTAGTCCAACAGTCATCAAAATTAGCATCTTTCTGCATTAAGGAGCACAAATCATATTTATATTCCTTAATACATTTGGATAATAATTATTTGATGGATCTGATTTACATCAATCAATAATGCTCATACTGCAAAAACTTATCTGTGAGAAGATTTGTGCTTTGATATGAGAGATACTTCCTCACTTTCCACATTCATCTGACATTTCTCCAAGTCATTATCACCTTTTCTTGGCACTAGACAATCATATGCAAAACAGACAGTTCTGCAATAAAATAGATATTGAAGCAGAAGTTACTAGATTTTTTACTTCTAAAAACAAAGAGTTTTATAAAAACAGTATTTACAAAGTTATATCTCATTGGGAAAGAGTTTGTGAATTGTGAGATGCTTATTTTAACAAATAAAATATTTTATGAAAATTTCTGCAAATCAGGTTTTATTATTAAAAACCATACAAACTTTTTTGGTTAACTGATATTTTTAAATACAGTATATTGTCATCATAGATTTTATTGTTACACAATTTAAAATACTAATGCCAGAATAAGAATTTAAAAGTAATTAAATTACTTTGCAATTTTAGTATTGTTATATGTTAAAGCTGATAAGATTCAATGAATTACTCACCATTAAGTTTTTCATTAATATCCAAATGTTTAAATTAATAGTATTTATGGTAAATAATTATTTTTAAATTATATAATTTATTATTTCCATATCATACCTGGAAGTCTACTAAAAGATTGACTTTTTTCATATTTAATACAGAAAATTATTTTTTTATAAAATAAGACAATAAAAAATATGATTGATAATTAAATGTGTGTGGAATTAATTAAAAACGATTATTAAAAACTTTCAAATTATAACAATGTAATCTGTCATTTTATTTAATGTTTTTAAAAACTGAAATATATCAATATATTTAAAATAATCTATAATTAAAATGTACTCTAATTTGTATAAATTTTTTGTTGATCTAATTTAATTCTTTATAAAAACATTTTTGAATAAACTATAAACTATTCACAATATAACAATTACTGTTTTTAAATTATACTTTAAAATAGAAATCTTTTACTTAGGATTTTGTACAACATTAGCAACAACTTATTCTTCTCGTTGTGTGCCAATTCCTCTGATTGAAGGAACAGCAGGAACAAATCATGGAAATTTAATTTGTTCTATTTTTGAACCAATGGTTTCTTGTTTATTGATGTTAATTCCAGCAGGTTATTTTACTACAGCATTCAAAAGTAAGTTTATTTTACTTGCTCTTATTCATTATTTAAACTAGTAAAAGTTAAATAATAACTATTTCTTCTTTGATTCAGTATTTTTTTTAAATCAGATTATTATGAAATCATTTAGAATACATTTAATTTCAATATAGTTAATTCTTAAATAACTATAATAATTAATTCTAGATTATTTTGTTACTGATAAAATTTCAAAGACATTCATGAACAATAATAGATTTTTTGATGATAAATAACAGTAAAATGTAACAGTTTCAATTCAATTTATTAGTATATAAGAGATTTTTAGTTTTTACATGTTAACTATCAAACTTAAGTATAAGTTTGATAAGTTAATACTGTACATATAAGTTTTGAATATAAAAGAAATCCTAAATAAGTATAATGTAGGTTTTTTATGTTTATCATAAAATAAACAGGAATAATTTTTATCCTGATAGTATTTCAAATATTTTTTTTTTATTTATTTAAATAAAATTGTAATTTTAAATAAATAAATAAATAAATGTATTAAATATATTATACATCTTTTTTAAATTTAAAATACACATATATAATGAATAATTATGTTATCAACTTATAAAATATTTTCATTTTTTTTCCAGATAATATAATTATAATGCTATAACATTAAAAAAATTTTTTACTTTATATTATTGGACTAATTGTATTCAAAATGATCTTTGTGATTTTGGAAAATTATTATAATGTAACTAATTAAATATTGTAAAAAATATGTTGAAACTACTATTACTTTGGAATTTTGGTCCTTACTATACTTTGAAATTCTATCACAATAAAGATTCTATATATGTTATTATGAAGTACATCTCTTTTCTTATTTATTGCAGTATTTGTTTGGTAGTTTAGTGTTTGTGTAAGAATATAGTGTCTCCTACAAAACAGAAATTGGTGTCCCTTAGACCCAACAGATTAAATATATTAAATATTAGCTTATTAGTAACTATTATATTTTATAATGTATTTGCAACAAGTTTATGAGTATTTGTTTGTAATTTTAATATTTTCATAACTTTTTTCATAATTTTTGCCTTTTTTGGCTATCCTTGTTCTTGGTATGCTACTTGCTTTCCATACTTACTAGCTTACACTGGCCCTGCTGGCTTAGGTGATGAGAACAATTAACAATAATACGTAATCATAACTGCTGCAGATTAATTATACTGAAAATATAAATACACAATATTCTTTATCTGAAGAGATAAACTTGACTGATCTTTATTTATTAGAGAAGTAGAAATATGGTTACATCTGAAAAGGAGCTGTAAATAGGAATGAAGTTTATCTGTTGATAATCAGTTACGAATCAACTCAATAGTTTACAATACTTTAATTAAATAAATTTAATTTTTATCCTGTTTTTCAATTCTCTTAAAATCAATTTTATCTCATTAAACTTTAAATATGATTTTCTGAATGAATTTATTTTTCATAATTTAAACATATTATTAGTGCTGTTTATACTAGCAATAATATGTTTTTTGGTGTATTTGTCACTTTTAATGAAACACACTGAATGATTGAGTTTCACAAGATAAGACAATATATACAATTCACAATATAATATAATTTTCAGAAAATTTATCACAGCTAATCTGTAAGAAATATTCTGGGGAGATAGTGGTACAATGTAAATTTTAAGATTATTATTATTATTATTATTATTATTATTATGATAAAGCATTATGATTTTTATAATTTTTTATTGTTATTTAATCTAAATGTATTACAAGACAGTAAAAGTATTAATAAATTAATTGATTAAATTTATGGTACAATAGTATTATTAAAGCATTTGATTTTGTAATTTTATGTTTTTCAGTTATTTCACACATAAACTCTACTTCAGATTATGCTATTAGATGGGCAAGAGACAAACGACAAGTTTTCCTCTCATGCTGGAATATTCCTATATATCTATTAATCAGTTGTTCTGATTTAGAGGTATAATTAAAATATTTTAGTTACATAAAATATACAGAAATAAATATAAAATTATATTAATTTTTGAAAATAATGTACCAATATTATATTTAAAAATAAATATATGAAACAAATTTCAAACTAAAATTTATATAGCATTTACAGTTACAAGTTTTACAAACAATTTTAATATTTACCCTGTTATGAACGTAGTATTACGTTTTGTGAAGACTTTGGTAAAATATATATCAAGTTATTTCTAGCTTTAAAACATAACATTATGTTTTCAGCAATGAAAATACAATTTCTTTGTATATTTTAGTGTGTCTGTTAATAAATAGCAGGCACTATTTATTCAGAAATTTGAAATATAAGCGATTTTGAACAACCGTGATCATTGCCTGATTCGAAGTTTCATCGCCATAATTTGCAAGCAATATTGAGTCATTTTATTTATCATATATGAGTTAAGTTTAGATATGGCACATTAATGTACTAAATAATAATTGTTTGAATTTATTAATAAAAGAATCAACAAATATAGTGCCAATTATATTGATTTATCTAACGAAAATGTCATGATTTAGGCCTAATTGAGATAGAAAAAATAGAAATAAGCCACTTAATTTCGTTATTATTTTAAACCTGTATAGTTTATATGATATTACATAATTTATATGTTACCGCTAAAGCTCGAAATCCGTTAATGTGCGCATTACCTAGCTAATCTGCAGATTAACTAGGGTGATCCGTTAAAGCTGCGAAAATTATTCCATTTCTCAAATTACCTAGGTAATGTTCAGATTATCTAGGTAATCTGCAAATTACCTACTAGGC